TCACAACCTTGGCATAAAAAGTGGCGTACGCAAGTTTCTGGGCTCAAATTGTGTGTACGCCAGTTTTATAAATCCGACCCCTGTTCATTCAAATCAGGTGTGTTGGACCAGAGAAATCTCCAAAACATGCAGGAGAGTGGCCCTCGAGGGCCAGGGTTGGACACCACGAACGCTCTGCTGTTTACCTTGAGCTCGGTAGTCGTCTTCTCCAGAAGCTGCTGAGCATACTGACAGGAGCAGGAGAAAGTTCCACCTGTGGGGGGAAAAAAAMCCTCCCATTATTATCAATAAAGCTCATCTCCCAACAGTTAAAAATAAGAGGGAGCAAAAGTTTGCAAAATGTAAAAATAAAAATAAAAATGTGGAAGTAAGCAAAGACAGCATGTTATCTCTGCAGGCATCTACCTTTGACATTTTTATGTCTGAAAATATGGTGCAAAGCCACGAAGAGAGCATTACTGTGTCATGTTTTATTGTTTCCAGACAGTGATGGATGGCATAGTTCCTTAATAAAACTTTAATGCTGTTGTTGGAAACATGCCTCAGCAAAACTATTTCAACCAAGAGAGAAAAACCACATTTAATTAAGAGAGAAAGGTGTTGAGACCGCCTCCTAAAATTACTTTTTTTTAAGTTTTAAGACACTGCTTCCTGGAACTTCAATCTCAAAGGACCTCAACAGACCTGTCAAACTTTCCAGTTTTGTTTATCTGAATTAGAATAACATATTGTTAGTTTTAATGACACAGGTGGTTACAAGTTGTTAAAAGCATGTTGTGATACAAACCTACTGCCTTTAATGTGACCTTTGACCCTCACTGACTCCACCTATAGGTGGCACTGCCCTCCACTGAAGCACGAAAGAGGAAGAGAGCATGAAGCTTGAGATCAGGAAGTGAATGTGTTGTAATTTAATGGCTGTTTTAAACGTTGATTTGCTCTACAGACACAAAAATGGTCAAATTGTACCAACAACGTTCTACCAAACTATTCAGTGTGGCCAGCTATTGTTTCTCATATAATCTATTATAAGCAAACTTTATTGTTTCTACACCAAAGACAGAATTATATATTTTTATTCTGTCTTTAAGCCTAACTGTATCCATGCATAATGATTTACTGTATGTCAGAAAGTCAACTGCCAAATCCAAGGTCATAAATTAAACAGTTTGACTTGTTACTCTCAATGGAGACGTTTAACTGGTTATGTGTACATTGAAAATCACAGCAAAAACAACATGCTGTCATTTTAATATTACATTACATAGTCATTATTGACTCTGTCAAGCTGCGGAATGAATCAAATTAGGCAACAGACAATCTAAACCAAAAAAATCTCCCAGCAGATTGATTTCAATAATCCATACAAAGGGGACATACAGTGGTTTGCAAAAGTATTCATACCCCTTGAACTTTTCCATATTTTGTCACATTACAACCACAAACATAAATATATTTCACTGGAATTTAATGTGAAAGACCAACACAAAGTGGTATACAATTGTGAAGTGGAAGCAAAATTTTACATGAATCAAAACATTTTTTACAAATAAAAAACTGAAAAGTGCGACGTGCAAAAGTATTCAGCCCCCTTTTCCCTGAGTGCAACCAATTGCATTCAGAAGTTGCCTGATGACTGCTAATGACTCAAAAGGGTCCACCTGTGTGTAATCTAATCTCAGTACAAATACAGCTGCTCCGTGACGGCCTCAGATATTGGGGAGCAAACAGCATCATGAAGTCCAAAGAACACACCAGACAGGTTAGGAATATGGTTTTGGAGAAGTTTAAAGCAGGCTTAGGTTATAAAAAGATTTCCCAAGCTTTGAACATCTCACGGAGCACTGTTCAATCCATCATCCGGAAATGGAAAGAGTATGGCACCACAGTAAACCTGCCAAGACAAGGCCGTCCACCTAAACTTACAGGCCGAACAAGGAGATCAATGATCAGAGAGGCAGCCAAGAGGCCCATGGTGACTCTGGATGAAATGCAGAGAGCCACAGCTCAGGTGGGGGAAACTGTCCACAGGACAACAATTAGTCGTGCACTACACAAATGTGGTCTTTATGGAAGAGTGGCAAGGAGAAAGCCATTGTTAAAAGAAAACCATAAGAAGTCCCATTTGCAGTTTGCCAGAAGCCATGTTGAGGACACAGCAAACATGTGGAAGAAGGTGCTTTGGTCAGACGAGACCAAAATTGAACTTTTTGGCCACAATGCAAAACGCTATGTGTGGCGGAGAAAGAACACTGCACATCACTCTGAAAACACCATCCCCACTGTCAAATATGGTGGTGGCAGCATCATGCTCTGGGGGTGCTTCTCTTCAGCAGGGACCGGGAAGTTGGTCAAAGTTGATGGGAAGATGGATGGAGCCWAATACAGGGCAATCTTGGAAGAAAACCTGTTGGAGTCAGCAAAAGATTTGAGACTGGGGCGGAGGTTCACCTTCCAGCAGGACAACGACCCTAAACATAAAGCCAAAGCTACAATGGAGTGGTTTAAAAAAAGGAATATTCATGTGTTAGAATGGCCCAGTCAAAGTCCAGACCTAAACCCAATTGAGAATTTGTGGCAAGATCTCAAAACTGCTGTTCACAAACGCTCTCCATCCAATCTGACTGAGCTTGAGCTGTTTTGCAAGGAGGAATGGGCAAGAATCGCAGTCACTAGATGTGCAAAGCTGGTGGAGACATACCCTAAAAGACTTGCAGCTGTAATTGCAGCAAAAGGTGGCTCCACAAAGTATTGACTCAGGGGGGCTGAATAATTTTGCACATCGCACTTTTCAGGTTTTTTTTTGTAAAAAATGTTTTGATTCATGTAAAATTTTGCTTCCACTTCACAATTGTATACCACTTTGTGTTGGTCTTTCACATTAAATTCCAGTGAAATATATTTATGTTTGTGGTTGTAATGTGACAAAATATGGAAAAGTTCAAGGGGTATGAATACTTTTGCAAACCACTGTACCAGTCATCATTATCTTGAACAGCAGAAGGTATGGTTGTCTGTGAATCACAACACATGTGATCTGTCCAACAGCACCCCTCCCAGATAAACACAATTACTGGGAAGGTAGACATCCTTGCTGACTGTTGCTTTCAGTCACGGTTCTAATTTTACAGATATTTCCCACAATGCTTTGTGTCTGCTTACATAGCAGGACGGCAATGGTTAGAACTATGTGACCGCGAAAACAGTTAATGTTTGTAATCCATACTAAAATTTTGAATGTATTGATTTATTTTACTTTACAATTGGAGCTCCTTTTAAAAAAATAAAGTTTAAATGCTGGAGCTCAATACTTGATCTAATTAGTCAAAGCAACCGGCCACCGGGGTTAGCTGAAGGGACGCAGAAATGATTTACAGATGTTATGCTGATGAAGACGGACATCTGGTGGTAAACTGGAGCAACAACAAAACTATGGAGAACTTTAAAATCCATGCTCTTATTTTGAAATGTAAAGTAAAGGTCATAAAGTGTAAAGTAATTGGTCATCAGTGTATGTTTCCACACAATGACGAAATTGTGCTCTGCATTTGACCCATCCACATCCAAGTGGAGCAGCGGGCAGCCATGTGAGGCGCCCGGGGAGCAGTTAGGGTTAGGTGTCTTGCTCAAGGACACCACGACATGTGGGCATGGCGGGGAGTCGAACCTAAGACTTTCGGGTCCCAAGCCGGCTGCTCTACCACTACACCACAGCYGCCCCCAAAGTGAAGGTAGTTTTCTGTACTCCATGCTTTCGTTTCCCATCACAAATCAAATCCGTCATGTACCCAGAATGTATCGCTTCAGTTTTCCAATAAACAGTTTTAAAATTACTTTATTGATGCTTTTTTAAAGAAAAATCTACAATAAGCAAACGAAAAAGACAAAGAAGCAGCCGAACTAGCAATCCTCAACAACTTTAATTTTTACACCAGGAGCCAAAGTTCTCCTTCATGAAATCACATCCCCRGCAATCRGCRGTTGTAGGATTAAGCTGCAAAAAGAGTTCATACACCACTAATTGGCAGTATTGTGCATAACTTGTACATCACTTATTGCTAGGTAATGGGTGTCAAATTGAACCTATGCTTAAAAATTAGCTTCTGCTAGTTTTTCTATGGTATAAGTGCTTTTGAAGTTGCGGACCTAAATATTTTCATAAGTGCTTTAGAWATTGTGGAGTTAATTTTTGGATTAACACTGCCCACCACTCCCATTCTCTCAAACCAGAGTGGAACAGTCTGGAAGCTGGAGGGGGCGGGGCTTATAACGCCTTAAAGAACAGTAACAAAATCAGTTACTTTGAGACACACCTCAGAAAAGGGATGAAAGAGGAGCTGGTGAAGTTAGAATAGGACGGAATTCAAATCAAAGCATTGCAGTTCCACTTTATAAAGACCCCAAGTGAATGATTTAAAAGTAAAAATGAAGGATTTAAAAGCATAYGTCTCCTTTAAATGAATTAAACTGAGAGAAGAAGAGTGAAAGATATATAGAATCAATTTTTGGAAGTCCTAACTGTTTGATTCATATCAGTGAGATTTTATTTGTTTATTCTGTTGATCAGTTGAGCAGAAGAGATATAAACTTACTTTTATGACTCACGCCAAAAGYAGCTCTTTAAAAACTAAAAGCAAACAATAACTTTGGCACTGAAATATTTAGTTCTCACATCAGCAGATGTCATCAAACACCTCAGGCCCAAAGCTGCCTACTTTTTGAAACCTCAACCTCAAAAAAGGTTCAAAGCATACTATTCATATTTCCTCCTAAKCAATCACATCAGCAGAACGGCTGCTTACACATCTGATGACAACTAGCATCATAACTTTCTACTCCGACACTGAGRGGAGGTTGTTCTGAATCCACAAGTAGATCATTGAGCTGCTGTTCTGGGTGATAAAGAGATCACCGTCCATCATAAATACTGTCACTTCATGAACCATCGAAGGTTTTAGTGCGACGACAACCAGCGTGATCTCTGACCTTTAGATCAAAAGCTTTACCCATGTTTTTGGAGAGAAGCGCAGACTGTTCTTTTATTTATTTTTTGTTGTTTTTCCAAATAAAGCATATACATACATACTGTATATACATAATCTAAGGTAGAGTAGACGTAAAAGAGAAATTTTTAAAAAGTGTCTTGATTTCAAGCAGAAACCCTGTGAGTTATGTTTGCCGCCTGGTCCTTGTCTAGAAAGGTGGTGTGACATTCCACAGCTGGCAACAGAAACAAATGCCCAAAGTATTCGC